TGAATTGTTACATTTATGCTGCTGGAGAGGTCTTGATCGATAACATAGGTGACTCCAAAGTAAATACCTACTTAAAAAATTAGATAAGTCCTATACATTTCTCAGGAGGGGTGTAAATATCCGAGTCTCTTTGATAAGAGAATCTTCAAGCCAATGAGAAAAAACATCCGCTTCAAAATTATTCGTCTTTGGTGGATATCTCAAAAAACACTCCAACGGTTGCATTTTTCACATAAAATATCATTCAAACTATAAGTAATGAAGCCATTCGTAGAGTGATAAAATGGCACTCAATAATTTTTGGAACGCATAAGGTCCTTACAAACATAACAGAAATGGTCGAGTCACTTGTCACACCAATGTTTAATTTTACGTCAATAGACTCGAAACTACAATCTATTCTTTGAAAAGTGAAGAACATCGAACAAATCTGACACCAACATAGCCATTTAGCTGCATTTACACGCCACTATGAATTAAATTGCATTGAATTTGTCTAAAGACTTTTACTCATTTCCCCTCTTTGATTAAAAGAGTGCACCAAAATTATTATCAAAATCATTATGAATCAGCATGTTTTCTAGGCTCTAAATTTGCCGGCTCAAAGATTTTTCTTCCGTCAAATCATAGAAACATTAACAGTCCCTTTGGATATACATGAATTTGAGCTAAAATGTATTCATATGTGACATTGTAACGTTGCAACGTTTTCTTTCATCTTTGATATTTATCTCAGAAACCGACCAACATCTTTTTTAAGCGTCTTTTGTGAATATTTGTCCGTCGGTTTCCCTTCTAAACTAAATAGAACTATGGGCGAAAACTTTGAAACGTTGATATGCTAACTACAACTGTTGATTCGAGTAAGTCAGTTTGTTCAAAGCGATCTTGTAGTGATTTTAAACCTCGAAAAAATTAAAGCCATCATCACTATCATGAGAATATACTGCAATCATAATGCACAATAACACCATAATAACATTATTAACGTTGAAGCGCAAGACTTTTCAGCTACATTCTTCTTTACAATATCAGAGGTGCTGAATCTACTGTTCTGACTGTTTTCATTACTTGCACACTGGTGACTGAAATTGGTTGGAAAGTAAATGATCAATATCGTTGATGCGAATAATTTTTACGGTCGACATTAGGTAATTGAATATTACAATATCTATACGAAAAAAAAACGACAGAATCTCGAAGAATGCTTTTTCAATTTTTAAGTAGGTATCTTCAACCAGCTAATAAAATAAAGTATAAAAGAATAATAATATATTATACAACAGTAAAAAATATATAAAGAAATCCTAGATTAGAGAGAGTATCGAGCAAATATGATACAGATTCACAACCAATTTGTAAGCAGTGCGTGCTTTGAACAAAATTCTTTGACTCTAACTTAATTATGAAACATTTGAACACATGTGTCAAAAAACAAAACAGCTGAACTCTGCAATGTGGTATTTTAAACTATGATGATAAACTGAAATGGGTTCGCTGAAGTTAGTTCTTTGGAGCAACACTTCGAAACATGCCGATAGTTAAGATTTCAAAATTTCGAAAATATTTATGCACGATTACAAAGCTTATTACTTTTGATAAGTAATGAAAAGTTTCTGGATCAGTTTGTATACTTGTAATAAGTTCTCGTTCATTAATCCTCATATTCATCAATTATGCTAATAGATACTCTTCTAAGGCCATTAATTATTGGTTTTCTGAGATGATCATTTCCGGTCTATGACTTTATTTTGAGATAGACAGAGTGTGCTATGATGTCTGCACTAATAGTGAGAACTACTTATCAAAAGCTCGATGTTCCTTAATTTTGACTCATATTTTTAACTGAGATTAGAAAACTACCGAACTATCTATCAACTATTTAAACTTATCTTTGAAGATACGATGAAACTCCTCGGTCAATTTTTAAGAATAAAATGTGTTGCTTGTTTGTCCGAAAAATAAGATAAAAAATAGCAAAATGCATTTCAGTGGATTGTATGTCATTAAAAGATAAGCCACCGACATGTTTCACCGTGCGTTTCATACTTATTGCTCTTTCTGTATACTACAATGAAACCTCCACTCTGACAGATTTCATTTAGGTGACCATTAGGGTACATCTGGTATCCGTGTCTGAAAAAAAACCGTCCTGAAAAGGGTTAGGTATAACTCTCGGGTTTCGGGTTATGAAGTACGCTTTTTTAAGGAAACTTGATCTCATAAAAAAACCTGTCTAGTTTTACGTAGGTGGAGTGCGTAAATTTTTCCAGAATTCCATATCATATAAGTCTGAAATAACGCGCCTTGTCATTTCATACAGTTTGAATGCAGCAGAAATTATTTTTTGGGATAATTTAAAGAAAATTAAAAACTTGCAAAAAATCAAAACTCTTGATGAATTTTTCTACGCAACTCTGAAAATCGAATTCTTCAGCAAAGAGACCATTTTTGTGGCGCAACTGGCCCAAGAAAGTGGATAAAATTTGAGAGATTTTATTCATGTTTTTTTACAAATCGTTTTTTTCAATTCATATTAATAACATTTGTATTAAATGTCGATATTAAAAAGAGACGTAACCTACAGGATCACTTCAGTGATATTCTAACTTTATACGTTGCTTGTTGAACCATTTTTGTCCTCAAAATGACTTTTTATCACTAGAAATATTTTTCTATAAATTATACTTCATGGTTACAGTTAGTAAAATCATCGAAACAGAAAGCATATGACCAAAAACTGAAGTTAAATATAACTACATTTTATTATAAAAATATAAACAATAACAAAAATAAGAGTTACAGAAAAAGAAGTAAGAAAAACAAATCGATTTCATCATATTTACAGCTTACAAGTTCCATCGTATAAACAAACTGCGTTCTTAGAGTACAAATATACATTGAAAATGAACTTTTTCATTACTTACGCTTCAAAAGCCCTTCTATTTTGGCTAGTATTGTGCGTTAAAAACGTGAATTACTCAAATTTATCCCTAGACTTTTACAATTTCAAGTGTAACCCTGTCAGGCGCTTGTATGTTTCTCTTTTAAAAATTTTACAGTTGGATAAAATATTTTAGATTTTTGAGGACTTTGAAACCAAATCATGTAAAAATCAGACGGTCAAATATCAAATGAATACTTAGTTTGACATTGAGTGATGACTGATCAAGAATAGTACTTGATTGTGCTTTAAATGCATGATAAAGTCTGTTTTAGCGTTATGTCCAAAACCCTCAGAAAAATACCCTCGTTGTTATTTTCCAGACATGCAAATGTGTCCAATGTACAAAAGCGTGCAAATCTGATTTTTACAAACGCTAGATTTTGAATGGATGCTTCCGGTATTCTGAATAATTGTCTGTTTTTTTTTTTAAAGACCTTTTAGTTAGTTTCGATCAAAATAATGGAAAGGTTTCAAACACGTTTAAACACGGCTGTTTCATATGTGGACGTATTTAAAGCAGTATGAACTATTTTAATTGTAGCTTTGGTTCTGAGACTGAATATGAATATATATGCATTTCAGAGCCCATGACATACAATGGAGGTAGCTTCTTCTGCGTTAAATACTCCATTTGGGAGCCCATTTAAATAGAGAGCGGACAATCGGAAATTGTGGAAAAATATTAGTTAATATTTTATATTAATATTAAATATTAATATTAGGAATTTGAATGTGAAATACGTATATCGGCTCGGTCCTAATGAATCTTACTGGCCCTTATTGACCTGATTTACTCGCACCAACAACGGCCTCATTCGTATCAACAGATAGCCGTAATTACAGTGAAGATCACACAGAAGTTTACCTTATGGTGAGTAAAACCAAAATTTGCCGCCAAATTTTCTCCTTTATCCAATTTCACTCGAAAACACATCCAAGCCCATATTGCTTTCGACGCGAATTGAAAAATTCGTTCTCAAACCTACTGGCACTGTTAGCTTTTCATTGATCACTGAACTTAAAATTATACTGGAATTCGAAGCGTTTTTCATGAAGGACATATACTCCGACTTCTGAGCTTGAACCAACCTGCCCTTGGCAGGAATTTCCTTAAAACATATAATTTGTGGATCCAAATGTATGAATATGGCTCTAGAGCTTTCTCTTTAAATCTCCTTTACTACGAAAAATTGTATTTTGACAATTTTGCAGAATCATTCTGGAGTAATGTTCACAATTTTTCTTTCTATTTATTTAAAATCAGTATCCGACAAAAAATGAATGAAATATCTAACGTAAACTAAGCTGTCTCATGGAACGTTCGTCAATTTTCATTTATAAATTTTTAACGAGGGGCTCTCAGTGCTACATTACTTTTAAAAAAATAGTAGGCATGATATGCGATTGTTAATTTCGACCATAATATCATCTCCAATATCATTTTCAATTTTTTTTTTTTCGTAACTTTGGTACAGATACTTGTAGAATTTTGACAAAGACATTTTATTTTTAATTTTATAATTATTAAAAGATTTGCAAAATGACTGGACAGAGAGTGAATTTTTTAATAAGTGATACTCGTTGGTGATCAAATATTGTCTAAAAATTGCTAATACCGTAAGACTCAACCTACGCACATTTCTTTGGAATGATAAGAACTTACAACTTAATTTGTCATTTCGGGAACACATGTAAAAATATTACGGTCTCCTCACCTGTTTATAAATATTTTTGTATTTTGAACAAAGTCACACACTGTTGAAAACTTAAAGAATGCTGAACACATAAATGCTTGCTTAAGAAAACGAAGTATTCAATAAAGTATTATCATATATTAAGTATTCAAGAGTCTGAATGAGCCAAAATAAAAAAGACAAAAGAAGGTAAAAATAAAATGTATAAAAAGAAAAATATGAAAATTCAATAGAAAAAGACAACATCTTACAAATAATTAAACAAGAAAATAAACTTTTTTAAAATTTTATTTTTATAAATAACATCAAATTTGAAATGTATTTTCAAATTTTACCATAATTACAATAAAATTGCCTAGGAAAAAATAATAATTGAAATGGAACATTTAACTATGAACAAAAAGATTAACAAAAAGATTGAAACGAATAAACGAACAATAATACAAAACAAGAATATTTGTGAATGATTGTTGAGTTTGATTGAATGAATAGATCGATTGTATTTCTTAGGTAATTAAGAGAATTTTCTAATAGTAATGATATGTTTACAAAGTACTTAGATCGTACTGTATGTCAGTAATAAGTACGTATTTGCTATAATATAGAAAAAGTATCATAGAAATTAGTATTGCAGAGATAAAATATAACACCTACCTCAAAGTTGAGCAAGAGAAGAACATAAAAAATTAGAATTGCCTCTGAAAAAAAGAGATAGAAGAAATCAGTAAGTGGTATGAAAAGAATACATTAAATTTTGTGACATATTTAAGTACCCACGACATCCGCGCTTTGAGATTTTGAGGATATGAAAATAAAGGGGAAAAGTTTGTATTTATAAAGACTGATGGATTATACCCTCTCAAAATAGCAGTCAGTCAGAGACTTGCTTTAAAGTTAATATAAAAATTAAAGATTGCATAAAAGAAATAGTGTTAGCTGTTTTATGTGCACCAATTTTACGGTTTTGTTCCTCCAGGAAAATTGCCTCATGTCAAAAAGATATTTTTAATGGATTTCAATAGAGGAGAAACAATGTTTCCAACTTGCACAATGGTATGGCATCATTTCCGTATCCCTGAGAAATAAAAATATATTTACCGAAAAAAAAAAAAAAAATATTTCTCAAGAAAAAAAAAATAAAAAGAGAAATTAAAATTGCCACTGCAAAAGAGAGCGAACCTCAGAGACTTTAACGCATGCGCAGAAAAGTAAGCGTGCCGACGAATCTGAGCTGCCTGGCGCATGGAGACCTTATAATTGAAAAATTTGCTCATACTGAGCCACTCTGGAGATTTTTAGATCTTTAGTGGCAAACATTTGTGGTTAAGGTGATTCGATGGACGTCATATTTTGTGTTAGAACGGCATGCGATATATCGCATTAATTGGTTCCATTTTTTAGCTACTCTTCATTTTTCTCCAATTTTGAGATCTCAATTCTGTTGTCAGGAGACTAAATCACTCACCAATTTCAACAAAGAAATTCAACGTAATAAAGGCGTGGTTTTTATAAAAAAAATATAGCATTCGAGTGCAGTTTCGATATCAGTATAGAATGCGATATTTTCTCTCTAAAAAAACCACGCCTTAATTACGTTGAATTTCTTTGATAAAATTGGTAAGTGAGTGCTTTAGTCTTCTGACAACAGAATTGCGATCTCAAAATTGGAGAAAAATGACGGATAGCTGAAAAAATTGAACCAATTGATGCGATATATCGCATGCCGTTCCGACACAAAATATGGCGTCCATCGAATCACCTTAACCTGTAATTTCGATTGTGGCGCAAATCGCGATTTGCAATGAATGTGACTAGTTATGGCCGCATAAGTGGCAAACTTGTGGGAGGGAGGGATTTTTTAAAACTTTTTTAGAGGAGCAAATCATGTGAAAATACTCAAAAAATTGTGACCGTAGCCAAATTTTCAAATCTTTAGCGGAAAGCCTTTGTGCCTCTTGTGCCACTTCGATCTGCGATACACGAATTTTTTTCTCCGTGTGTGTAAAAATCAATGATTATATGATAAAGATGCTCACCCATTCACTGGAGATCCTCTTCACACTTAGGAATGTCGAAGATTTCAGCAAAGAGAGGAGGCAGCCTCAGTTTATCCCAATTCAATCTAAACCAGTCTAAATGAGCGGAATGTTTTGCACCTAAATTTCGTAGCTCCGGTAATTTTAGTAGAACATTTGACAACACTTGTGGTTCGTTGGCATGATTTCTTCCGACCTGAAATGAAACAGAAGCCATAGAAACAATGAGAAAAGAGAAGCGACCTGTTGGTCGGATAACAGAAGCACGGAACTTTTGAATCAGGGAAGAGTCAAAAGATCTTAAGCACTGAGACCGTATTATATTTCAACAAATTTCAAAAAACATCTGAAAATGAATTAAAATCATACATTCGTATAAACTCCGTAAAAACATCCGGATGTTGCCACATTTCTCGTGTAAAACATTCATTTTGAAGACATTTATGAATAATTTTCTTTTAAATTTTTAGATACTAAAGTTCATATTGCTTATCACGTTTCCTGAAAATTTGGGAGAAAAATGTCCAGAGTTTCCCGGAATTCTTGTTTCATTGAAGAAAATTTGGCAACGTCTGAAAGTTTATACGGCGTTTTTCCTTAGCATAACAGCATAAGATTCTTGATTAAAAACATTGCATCAATTAAATGTATTGAATCTGCCGGTATTAATCATACTCATTCAGATGGGAAATATCCAACTTGAATTTGATCATTGAATTCGGGAGGGGGGGGGGGGCTTAGTACCCCTGACAAATGACCGTGGATTCTACTTAGAACTCTGTGATTTGACCCATGGTATAATTTTTTTCTTTTTGTTTTCAAAATTCAGTTTCTTATATTTCGCGACGTTTTCTAGCCTCCCGGGTTAGTAAATTAGATTTAAAAAAAATCATGAAATTCTATAATAGAAGTTCGTTTTACAAAAATTTCAAATCTTGAATCCCTAGTGATTTTTCAGGAATTCCCTTATAACGGTCGTTGCGGGTAGGGCCAGAAGGGCACTCTACTCTCAACTACCACTGTCGGAAATCGCCATCGCCCCACGATCCGATTGTTATATCCCTACAGATTTCAAAATCATAATTGAGGGGGGAACATGCGGTTTTTCCTTGGAAAATCCCTGAAACTTCTTAAGGACAAATTCTAAACTCCTGTCCTGATTTTGTGTGCTGCATAGTAAGTGTTGAGACTAAACTTTGTACGCTGCGTGTTTACTCTTGGAGTTTGTTGGTTGGGGTTGTTCAATTATCACTAGAGTAGGAAATTACCTGGAGTTTAAGAGCATCTAAAAGCCTATCTTGATGCTGTTTGATGGCTTTCAAGTCCGTAACCCCAGGCCGGTCAGAGGTTAAAAGAACAACGGCTGAAAATAATCCTAGTTCCGTATCATTCAGTGCTAGAGCATTGAATGAATTGGCAAAATGAAAAATTGAATATACAAATTCACTCTGAAAATAAAAAAAAGGATTCATGAATTAGTAAATTAGTTTTACAATTTATTCACATACAAAATGAACTTTAAAATTTGGATGCACGTTGAGACTAGTTTTGATGTCTAGAATTTTTGTGAAAATATGGGGAACATTATCTGAAAATACTCTCTGATATTTTAGCATATTACCAGCATGTTGCATGTTGCAGTGAGTTTTAGTTCGACGAGTTTGATTATTAAAACATGGAAAATTGTCTTTCATGTTTACTGCAATAGTTTTTTTTTCAGTGACTTAACTCACTCCAGATAAATTTTGAGGCATGGTGTTAAATATTTTGAAGATATGGATAAATTTCGCTGCCATTAGCTTTTTCTAAATGCAAAAATTCTCAAAATTCTGCAAAAAATGATTCGTTCATTAAATAGATGTATTATATCTAAGTAAAAAATATTGGGAATACTAAATGATTGGTTCCAATCGAATTTCTCTGAAAAAATCTCGAGTCTCATTACAGAGATTTTAAAAGCTGCCCTCTCATTTTCGTTTATCAACACTGGAAAAAAACACATTGCATCTAGAGCCCAGACTCTTAAAAACATCGATAAGAAAAAGTACTCTTGATTCAGTCAGAATCTAGCTTAAATCAAGAACCAAGCCTCTTAATTTAAGCGGATTTCGTTTTGATTCAAGCAAAAATCCGATTGAATCAAGAATGTTTTTTCTTGTCAATGTTTTCAAGAGTCTGGACTCTAGATCCAATGTGTTTTTTTTTCCAGTGAAAGGTGAAGGAATCAACACTATTCCTCGCATAGAGGAGAAGCATCAAGAGAGTTTTCAAGAAACGACGTTAAGCATTTTTCCATTCAAAAAATAAATGATGACAGAGGTCTGAAGCGTCGCAAACTAAAATTCGCGTTTTCAAAGTTTCATCGTATGCATGCGACGTATTGTTTTGATTCAAAGAATGAGGCGTAGAAACTTACATCATACATGAGCTCCATCTGCTGCCGCGTCACATAGGTGCCGTCAGAGAACGTGAGCGAGCACTCTGATGTTAACCGCGAGACATGACCAAGCCATAATTCGAAGAAACCAACTTTGATTAAAATAAGTTGATCGTCTTGACTAAGATCACAGAAGCCTGGAAACAAAATTGCAATATGTAAATGAGCTCAAAGAATAAAACGCATTGATAGTAAGTTTGTGTAAGTGAAGAGTATCGTAACTTACGGGAGTGAGGTCTGGCAACTCAAGAAAAGAACTGAAGACATGCTTAGGGTACCTGAGATGGACTTTTGGCGAAGGTCTGCTGGGATATCGAGAAGAGAACGTATCCGCAATGAAAGGGTACGCGAGATAATGGGTGTGGAGAAGGACATCGTGCACGATATCAGGTCCAAGCAGTTGGTCTGGTACAGGGGTCGAGAGGGTTCTCAAGAGCGAACGCCGATTTCCAGGATTTCATATGCATCGCCTCCTCGCTCGCGAGTTGAGAGGCCTTTTGTTTCGAATGCCCTCTCCGTTCGCAAACCCAAACCTTTTTGTACGGCGCCCGCTCTTAGTTCTCGATACCTGAGGCGTATCGCGGCGAAAGCGATACCCATCCCAGAACGCGATCGATTAGCCGTCTAATTCGATTGCCCTCGGAGAGGCGATGCCAATGACACTCGTATTCATATCCCATCTTGAGAGGCGAATGAAGAACGCCAGTTTATTCCCTCCTTATTCCCTCTCATCGCTCAGTGGTCGCCTGGTCGGGCGCGCCGCGGCCCGCTGGGCTGCGAATCCTGCATACGGTCCACGTTGACCCATGGTTGACCGTTGAGTCATCCTCCTTGTCCATCCCTCGGCTCCTTCGCTTCCTGCGGGTTGCACCAGGTCGTCTGAATGCACTACCAGCCGAGCACAGTTCGTTGACACGCCAGTAAGATGAGGGTGAAAACGACGAAACACCCGGACGGTTAATTTTTTCGTCTTGTCAATTTCTTGACATGTTTCGCTCGATAACCGATCATTTCAGTTAATTGTCCACCTAAGCCGCGGCAATTTCTCCCTCTGAAATATTGTTATCACACGTTTCAATTAATTTTTCTTCACTACCCCCCCCCTCTTCTGGGTTTTGCTTGATTCTCCACCCCCTTCCCCCGTTACCAATATTAAACGCATCAGGCCATGAAATATTATATTCATGTTCTTAAAATTGAATGCAACTAAATATGCAACTGCAATTCGAATACGTCAAAATCTTTCTTCAAATTTCCGTCCTTGCCTTGTATCGAAACACGTTTTATCCACCGGTTTTTCATATGTTTCATTGTTTTTTCCCTTTTTTATTACCTACTCATTTTTCTCTTAGTCTTTAATTCATTTATTCACTGCTATTCCAACTGAGTATTTTTTAATATTCTTTTGCATTTCATGCATTCCTTTTTATTCTACAATCCTGCAAGTGGGGAAAGGGAGGACAGGGCTAACAGTTAAGCGAAAGTTACTAATCTCAACCAAAAAAAAGGGGGAAAAAACCCGGTTTTAGGCAAGAAATCAATTTTCTCTGCATTACTTCACCTTGCACTCAGGGAATTGGGCATAAAATTTCATACCTCCAGCAATCATTATACCTCAAGTCAATTTCAGTACTTAAGCGCTTAGATTTCAGTTTCCAGAATTTGTAATCGAAAACCCTAAGTACAGTCTCTAAATTTAGGAGCTATAAAGGTTTTTAAGAAATTTTGGATAAACTAGACCACCTTTGGTGAAGAGACACTATTCCGGTGACAATGGGAGTACACGATTTCTGAGTTAATGATTGGTTCCATAAACGCCAACCATTAGACGGTAAACTCCTTGACAGTAAATTCATTAAATCTCTATGAAAAAGATGAAGGAAAAACTACGGAGACTTAATTTTCTGTTCATAATGACCACAGATTCCTTGAACATAGCAACTTCGGGGTGATCTCTCCTTCCCTCTTAATTATCCAATTAATGACTGTGGTAAAGGACGTTTCCAAATTTTTTAATTAATTAACGTCACTTCTTCTCAGAGAAATCTGGCTATTTCTTTATGAAAACGTGGGACAAAGTGTCTTCGTGACTCTCGAATTAAAAAAAAATGTACAAACAGAGTCGCACGGCACAAAGTTGGTATACGCTAACGCGACAGCTTTGTCGCCCAGAGCGGTCTTGCACTCGAAGTCTGATGAAAAATTTGAATAATTATGAGTAGGTATAGTGAAAAAGTATGGTATCGCAAAACTCGCGAATGTCTTAAGCGCTTTTAAAATACTTTCTATCACATTCCTCCAATTTTTTTAATCGGTAGCTTACCGATACACCTACTTGACGGTTGTATATATATTTTTCACCAGGATTGCAAGCTGAATCCAAATCCGTTGAAATAGTAGAACATTTTAGAAACGGTAAAGAAGTTGGTCGGCAAATTATCCTCTACCAGTAGAAGGAGGGTGTCATTAACACATGTCTGGCCGCTATCGCGTTTGGCCCACGTTTTGATCAGTAACTTACCGATATAATTACGTATTATTATATATATAACTCATCAGGATTGCGAGCTGAATTTGAATCCGTTGAATAAATGAAGATTAGTTAAACTTTAAAAAAATTGGTCAGCAAATTTTCAGCGGCTAGTAGGTAGAGGGTGTCATTAACACGGGTTCCGCCGACGGAGAGAATCCCAAAAGTAAGCACAATGGGAACAATCGCGCGTCGCAGCCGGTCGAGGGCCAGCAGACCGGCGCGGCGCGGTGGGAAGATCCGGCGGTGCTATTCGAAGAAGCGCCCCCGGACCGTTTGGTGGCCGAACCGAGAAGCAGGAGTTTTCTGAAATTTCTTCTTCCATAAGCGTCCAGCCCCGTTACAAACTAGAGGCTTCAAAGAGACTCATCGATTGCCCCGACTTAAACCGCTGGCCAATGAGCGGGCCAGGAAATGCAACGATGAACCTCTTTGAAGCCTGTAGTTGGTATGTGGGCTAGACGCTATACTGATGCGGTATGGATTTGCTTTTCACAAATTTTCGGATTTTTACCACCATTAGTGGCTGCTCACAAAGCTCATTATAAGTTAAGAAACGGTGGAATTTCGATTTTAAGAGCAACCGAGCGGAGGGACTGGGCATTGCCAAGCGAAGTGAGAGTGACTTGGGAGAAAAAAAAAAAAATTTCTCTTAATGTGCAAGGTATGTGCTCGGTTAGTACACATTTTTGAATATCTAGCGTCCAGTCCCTATCACTCACTAAAATATCAAAAATAGACGGTTAAAATGCTCAAACAATCGGAAAAATCACGATCTATTGGCTGTGTGTGCGTCGGGTAAATTTTCTTATCTTTCAAAATATTTTTGGCTATACCGTGGTTTTTTTTTACATAGAACCATTTAGGACCGTGCAACATTTTTTTTGGTCGATTGAAAAGAATAAGTCCCACCCTAGACACGCTTACACTTTTCAGCATTCACATCAAAGTGCATCGCTGGTGATTCCGTGCTGAGGAATAACGCCGCATAATCATTCGAGTGATGCCAAATTTCCTCCAAAAGTTTTGAATTATAGTAGGGCCCACGAAGGATGATGCCTGAGCCGCGGGTATTTCTTGCAAACACTGGCAGCAGTGAGACACCCCCGTCCGGACCGAGACTGGAGCTCGCGCGACAATGCCGAGCCGAGCCACAATAGAACCCTAATTACTTACGCGTAATTACCAATATCATCGTCTTACTAGAATGATCCAAAATTTTTTGAAAATTGCTAAAAAAGTTTTTAGGTAGAGTTTCCTCACTCTCTGTTAAAGCACGAGTAAAAAAAGGCCTCATTTATAAAAATCTGTCAAATAGCAAAGAAGTTACAGTTCGAGATACTATATGAGATAAATACAAATTTAACTTCGCTATAAAAAGGAGAAAAAAGGAAAAAAATAAAAAGTGTAAATTACTATTAAACATCATTTAGTTCAGAATTTCACAAGCAATTCAACCATGTAATAGACGAAGAGATTGGGGCAAAATTACAGGAAATTGATCTTTTACGAAAGGGCTTCCTTTTAAGAATTTTGACCTGAAGATAGGGGTGGAATAGCAGCGGTTCGCATATAATACCTATTCTACCAGGCTAAGGAAACGCCGTATGAGCCTTTAGCCGATGCCAAACTTCCGTTGACTAAATAAGAATTTTCAGGGAAATCAGGGAATACTTTCCCTCCAATTTTTCAGAGAATTTTATTCGCTGTCAGCTCTAAATCATCTGAAAATTTCAAGAGGAAATATGCCCAATTCTGCTTGAAAATAAGGCATTTAATTGGAGGAAATTTGGCAACTCGCAAATGTTCATACGGCGTTTTTACCCAGTTTCGTCGATGTGCATGCTCGATCTCGCAGCGTTGACATTTACATGGTCCATGCGTTTATTCGCCCGATTTTTCAGGGATCATCCTTCGTGGGCCCTACTATACTGCCTTAAAATTATTCGAAACTTTAGATCAAATTGCTCATAAAATTCTCTGAAAAATCAGTAAAAAAATATAGTTGAATTTTACGATAATCTGCGGGTCATCAAAGGAAATTTGGCAACGTCTGATGGTTCAATGGTTCATACGGCATTCGTCTGTAGCACGGCAAAATGAGCTATAACATAAGGTGCGAATTTTAGTATTCCGAGAGGGGTGCGTTTTTCTCTTCATTCATTTTTCGGATGTGTTCGATTGTTCATATTGCTTTAAATGGATTGCATTTTGCAAGAGAGAACCACGAGCATTCCATGTTGCTAAGATTGCGCAACTATTTTCACCTTACAAATATAAACTGATCGCCTAAATAAGTTCTATCTTTACTCCCAATAAACTATAAATTCAAGCCAAAAATTACGCTTGTAAATTTAATTTCTTGCATGATTTCAGTGATTTGATATCAAGAAATGTAAGTTGCACAATCCCAGCAATATTGGAATGCTCTTGATTCTTTTTTGCAAAATGCAATTCAAATAAAATACCTCAATAAATCTAAGAGGACTAAAGCTTTAGTTAAGAAAAAAAATATAAGCCAATTTCCTGCTCTCTATTATGCCGAAATTTTTCAAATGAGCCGCAAATTCGAAGAAAGTCTACTCTAAAGTACCCTGACAAAAGTAGAAGAAATATGGACATTACATGTACCGATCAGCTATGAGGAATAGATGTTTAGACGTGCAGAAGTCAAAAAGCGACAAGCCCACAGTTTACGCACGAATCATGACAGGCGAAAAATAGCCAGGGTAGAGGACGAAAGTAAAAGGGGAGAACGCATGAGCACAATGCCAAAGTGAAAGGAAGGTCCAGCGTGTGCGCCCTGTGCGGACTAGCAGTGGAGGAAAGAATCCGGGGGTAAAGTCCAGTGCCTTTGCGGGCAAAAACGCAGCCGATCCAGATCAATTCGATCGGAAGCCCCGTGTGCGTCTTTCGAGGAGGGCAATCGAGATCGGGTTTTAATTCCCTCCTGTCTTACGAGGGGATGCCAATGCGGCCAGAAATTGTATCCCATCTCGGGAACTGAACAGTTTGCCCGCGCTACTGCCTCTCGTTCTTCGAACGAGAACAATAATCGCCCCATTCGCCTCTGAGTTCGGGATTCGGGATCCGAAATTCTTTTACCTGCTCTGGCCTCTTGATCGAGTATCGCGATCGAAAAGCGACGCTTGGTCGTTCGCGAACTCGGAGGGCGATCAAATTAATTTCAATTCCCTCTCGACCCCTGGTCTGGTATGGACATGTGCGAAGGATGGCAGACGACCGGTTGCCCAAGCAGGTCTTCGATTGGGTTCCTCCCGGAAGGCGACGGCGTGGACGTCCTGTGAAAGGTTGGCGACAAGGGGTGGAGGAGGAGATCAGAAGGTGCCAATTGCCTGATGATCTCTAGGAGGATAGGGGGCAATGGCGATTGGGCGTCGCAGAGCGCGAGGCGGCGCTATAAAAGCGACTTTATGTATGTATGATAGTAAGTTTGACTTTAAATCAACAGAATTTCCTTGCTTCTTTTTTCGTGGCTGGGCTGAAGGTGCCCTATGTGAGAATTGAGTGATACAACAGGAGTGGTCATCTATTTACAAAAGATTTACATGTAGCTTTCCTGTTTTTTCGACCAAAAATTATTCTTGAAATTCACTGTGAATTTTTTTCAGACTTTCAAAAGTTACAGACGATTTGAAGGAGATATTTTAAGTACCTAGTATTGCTTTTGAGCATAATTAGAGATCTTTGAACATTGCGGTGAAGGTGAACATTTTCCGGTTCTGGCTATCGATTTTGTTTTTACAGCAATGAAATGGTTCAAAAATTTCTGTCCTGTTTCTCCGACCAAAAATCTCTCTTAAAATACTCTATGAATTGTTTTTTCAATCGTTTAAAAATATTTCCAGAGAATTTCAAGGATATATTTTACGTAGTACTGCTTTTGTATCAATTAGAAATCTTCGAACGTTGCAATGAAGATGATCATCGCCCGGCTTTGATTATCTATTTTGTCTTTACAGTAATTACTACTAACTGCTAATTAGAAAGGAAAAATCAAAAAAGTGTACCTGGAACCCTCTTCGCGAATTCGACTACTCTTTGGACACTGGGAGTCATGTGCGTTGCAAATTGCTGCCACAGCCAGATTCTTTGTTTTGAATTACTATCAGCCGTTGAAGATGCAACTTCAGGACTTGAACATACAGGTGATGGCTGAAAAGGTAAGGAAAGACAGGAAATTATAGCATTGATCTGAATACACGTTTTTATTTCATCATATGAATACACTGAAATCAAGGGATCACTGAAATCAGCTTCAAAAAATACAATTATCGTTGATTATTATGGTGCAATAAATTCATTGATGGCACAAAATAGGTGATCGGTTACTGCATTGACTCTCACGTTACCACAGTTTTTGATTCTAATATCTCACTTCAGGTAGCGTAGGCTGCAGTAAATCGCGCTTACATGGTGAAGGTATGCCTACTGCATTGGAGTGCAAGGTATGTTGCTTATCTACTAATTGAAGGGGCCCCTCTTACTGAAAGTTATTTGAATAAAATTAAAATATGTTGCACTTCTCACTGAATAACAAGTTGCCTAATTAATGTGAAACTCATTATACTTATTGTTTTTGTTTAAAATCGGCATTAAATATTGGAAAGGGTTAGTTAACCTAACCTAACCTAACCTAACCCTTGTAGGGTATTCGTTGGGATTTTGTTGCAGTGACTCAAAATCATTGCATTTTAAGATTCGGTTAGTTTGTTGAGTTCTTCCAGTTTCACACTACACGTCCACCATCATCATACCGAAGCAATCAATGGTAGCGATCAATGGTTAGGCCAGAAATCTTGTTTTTTTCTTACAGTCAAGTTTTTTCAATGCAGTCAATTTAGTGTGATTTGTGTAAAAATTGTGCATACATGTGAAACTAGAGGTTTTCTTGTGAGTGTTTTCGTCTGCTCCTCGGTGTAATCACAATTGGATTGATATGCTTGTGAGACGGTGAGTATGACGTCATAGATGGCTAGGTGCTTGTTGTCGATGTCGCAGGACTGGTCCGAAGACGAGTCCGATGTCGTCACCCGCACGTCACTCCCCTCACCGCGCTCTCGAGACCTCTTCGGAACTCTCCCATATCTCACCGCTGAAAAAAAAGGTAAAAAAATAATTATTAGATAAGTACATGAAATGTAAGAGATAGTCAAAAAATTAATCACAGGCAATCATTAGTATTATATGACCAAGGGTGACTATGGTCATATAAAACTTATATCCCTGAACAATATTTTCTTAAAAAAATTATGATTTTCTTATGAGTTTTGTACAATGGAAATCTTCTACATCTCTGATGCAAATGTTTTTCAAAAACTTCTGACAAAATATTAAAAATCATTTTATAGTACACCCTCCTTACATATTCTGATCATTCTGTCAATCATCAGTTATCATCAGTTTCTAAAAACTTTTTGCGTACATCTTACCGTCCTCTCGCTTTTAAAAGCACATTTACTTCCTTTTTGTTCCGAAAAAAGTGGTCGAATTTTGGAAAGCTAAATGTGTTATGATTACATTAAACCTGCTTATCTTTACAAAAAATCTGGCAGGGAATTGAAAAAATCGATTTTGCAAAGTTTTGACCATCAACATTCAATGCTCTCTTTAACGTGTTTTTTGACAACCGTTCAAATATGATGAAATTTTTTAGAATCATTGTAATTTGTTAGAAATCGACTCGTTTTACTAATGATTGTATCCATTTAAACATACCGGATCGAAAGAGAGCAATGTATGTGCCGCAGGCAATTAACACTTATCGGCAATTTGCAGCCGACATTGAATAAATAGAAAAGTATAAAATTCAGAAATGAAGGAACAAATTAGATACTTCTGCCCTTAATATGAATAGACACTTTTTCATCCGTAAAAACAGGGTCGTGAGAGACACATGCGTGCGAGCGTGCAGTAAATCCATGACCTTAGTTGGGTTTAAATCGGACATGCAACTAAACTAACTCCGTGGCAAAGCGTGGAGTATCACAAAATTGAAGGCGTTCCAAGCGGAGTCTATGCTTTCAAAGGCGATCATCCAAGAAATTTTCATTATGCCAAAACGTAATATTGCGATTTGAGTGATTTTTAAGTGAACTGCTTGAATAATATGGGCGATTGCTGATTGCCTGTCTTCAAGTAGCCTTATGGTTGCAGTGTACCTGCTAAAAACGAGGGACTAGCTTGGAAATGGATGTATTTTTCAGTGTGAATTATTTCAAATTGGACGTATTTCTGCCAAACGGAACAATGTGCATTAAGACATGAGCTCTGAGATCCATAAAAAGATATGCATAACAGAGCTCACGTCATAATGCACATAGTTCCGTTTGGCAGGAATACGTCCAATTTTACGTTTAATACAGCTAATTTTGAAGGGTTGAAGCATGAGTTTCAGGAACTTACAATCTCTTGACATGCCGACAGCGAGACACTTTTTGAATCGACAATACTGGCATCTATTCCGGTTGAGCCTGATGACCAGACACTTTCCATCTCGGAGGCAGCGATATTCAATCTGCTTTTGAATACTTCTCCTAAAAAACCCCTGAAAACACACAGATAAATACATTTTTTAATGAATTTTATAGACATCAACGTTGAATCAATGACAGGAAATGAATGTGAAAAAAATCGCAAAATCCTGACTAACTCAACCTCCTGCGATATCTGGTAGAATCAGTGGCGAGGCGTGAATGATCGATTATCGATATTTCCCCTTTTAAGCTACGATATAAAAAATCGATTACTGGCGCGTTAAGTGTGAACACCCTGTTAATCGATCCTTTCCCATACTTATACAGGGTTATTCAAAAGTCACGCACCACTGGCCATAACTTTAGTTCTAATTAAGATATTGACTTGTGATTTATGACGTTTGTCCCCATATTGAAGGGGGCAATTTTGTAGGCACTTTCCAGTTTTTGACTCCCTCACAAAAAAGGGGGAGGATGAGGAGCAACTCAAAAATTTCAAATGGCCACCCCCCTCAGGGCCAGTGGTGCGTGACTTTTGAATAACCCTGTATATGGTAGATCAATCGATACATCGCAAAGTACGGCACGCCACTGGTTAGAATCACCAGCAACCTCCGAGTTACTCCAGCGAAGAGGACATTGGCACTATGCACTTGACTCTCATCATCCCATGCCTCCCTCATCGCCCCCCCCCCCCCCCNGGGCCTCGGTTCATGCATAACTTGGTTCGTTCTCCTCTCTAAAAACACGGCGCAGTAACGTCACCGAACACGGGTGTAAACACAGATACGCAAACAATGTCGAGACGCAATAAAACGGTGACAAACAAACTATATTGCGCTGATAGACTACGGTGTTAGATTCACTAATTCAATCACACATTTTGTTTGATACGACCTTATCGACCAAATCGCTCGGTCCAAAAATGACATTACTGCAAAAATTTCAACAAATTTTTATAATGCAGGACATTATTTTAGGGGCAGGCGCAGCTTCTCTTTCTCTGTTTTTCCTCTCGAGAGGTAAAATAGCATTGGGTAATTTTGTTCAGCCCCCAAACGACCCAACTCATGCGTTTTCTTTCGCTTTTAGTTCAAAGTATAAAAGAGCAAAAGCTTTGAAACCACTACTCGTTGGTCGCTCTATGAAAGCTTTACAGAATAAGGCAATGTTCGAAGACTTTCGGTTCATGTTACTAAACTTTTGGATTGAACCGGACTGAAAAAAGAGATTCGGTTACATAAATTGAGTATCGAGTTATACAAATCGAAAGTTCAGTTTAACGAACCAAGTGGTTAAATCAATATGGGTCAACAAATTTCAGTTCATAACTCAAATTTCTTTTTCAATGATTGCACCTCAATCCGTGGTAGCGAAAAATGAAATCACCGATGCACATAGGCGGATCCAGACTTTTCGAGCAGTGGGGTGTGGGAGTCTTCCCGAAAATTTACGACATTTTAAAGCATCTAATGTGCAGTTTAAGTCAATTTCGTCATGAATAATTACCGAATATAAGCGACGTTCCTTATTTTCTTCCTCCGTTCCCTCCTCCTTTTTTCCTCCATTCCCTCCTTCTTTCTCTCGCTCTCTCTTCCCTTTTTCTTCATCCTTTTTATCGGGTAAACTGAGGGGAGGGGTGCGCCCCATATGCCCTTTTAGGATGTACCTATATGCCGACCAACGTGTTAGCTCCGAAATGGGCGCGAAAACTCCACTCCGACGCAACCGAATTCCAATTGGCGGCTTCCGTTCGGACCACGCGTGCAAAATACAAAATCAGCATGAGTCTTCCGTGGTTTGCGGGATCGCATAAACAACAACATCATACATAATCCCGTGGAGAAAGACGACACCGTGACGGCTAGGATTAGTTGTACCGGTGTTGCAACACAACGGCTGCGCATGCTCGCCAGGAGCAAGGAGCTAAGAGTGGGCAGGCATTAAAAAATGAATGAATCAAAAAACAAACAGGTCCGAGAGCGAAAATGAGAAGACGTAATAACAAGGTGGTAGAAATAGCGTTCCGGCGCGGTAAACCCGCCGCGCCGCACTGTGGAACAAGTCATCGGGACATGACATTTTTCACTTTAGTGGCCGTTCCTCAGCTACAAATCGCACTTTTTCGGCATTTTTGACCCCCCCCCCCTTCCCCACTAGTAACGCTATTCAGAGGTGGGCCTCCATCCTTTAACACGTAAAAAAAACATGGCGTAACGCTTTCCCCGACCCCCCTCCCTCAGAAAGTTAAGTAATTTAGGGACGGCCCCCCATGACTGAATGTGTAATTTTTTATTTCAGGGACGGCCCCCTGAGACTGAAAGTGGTAATTTTCATTTCATCACATTATAACTTTCAAGGTGAGCTCCTTACAACACATTTTACGAAAAAACCAATGGGGAATTTGCACGAAAAAAATTTATTCCAGGTTCCAAGTTCGCGCAGTATTTTTCATAATAGTTTCTGATGTGGGAGATAATAGAAATATATATTTATGGATGAGAACATGTATTGCCTTATGACGTCATCAGGCGGCATTTTTCGTTTGAACACCCATTTTAGCGATTCGATCATTTGCTGGTATCTCCGCCAGTAATTGTGCGAATTAAAAACCAAAAATTTTCTCGTGTTCAGTTTGTGATTTCCAATCAAATTGTAAATTCATTAATTTTCAGACTCCTACAAAGCCTCTATTGAACTACCATTAAACTTTCACAATCTGCACTAAAAAAGAAAAAGACAGGAAGCTTTTAGAACTTCTACACCGTGTCCAACCTCTCCCATTGATTAGCTTACTGTGCGCCGGACAGGACAGGAGCAACCGGGATAGGAAGAGAGGAAGAGAGGAGCGAGTAAGAGGAGAAGCGGTTCGTATCGGGAAAAAAAGAGCGCGAGAGATAGGAAACGAGATAGAGGGAAAGAGGGAAAAAATCGTGTTCCGTTAGGTTCGGTGACTGTCTGCTCGGACTTGCACCGGCAACGGTTTTATCCGTCAAGGCCTAGTCATTGTTCTTCCGTTAGATTTTCATAGAGATCGAATCTTCGCCGTTATTATTTGCGATCTTCGGCTCGGCTTCCGAGCGAAACAATGGCTCCCAGCCCGGTGGATCCATCATCCATCGCATGCAGATTCCGCGGATCGATGATCGGTGCTTATCGGTGTTTTTTAAGTCACCGAAATATGCCCTTATGTCATAGCTTTGTCGCGAGTGAGGAAAAAAATAATTGTATTAAAAAAAAATGATGATCCTAGAAAAAAAAAGATACTCCACGGGGGTAAAATTTTCTGTCACATTGGATCGAATCAGATTTTAAGATCTCGACGGAAAACACGATCGACATTACAGAGAAAAATGTTCCTATTACTAATTGTCTCATCGGATTTTTATTCGAGACATCAGGTTTTTGGTACACCATTCGGATTCTTGTTGCGACGAAATTAGGAGCTCATCGGGACAACAGGAATTAAGTTTGTCTGAGATGGAAATTCGATGGGTAATCTGTCATTTCCCTCGAGAAAGAACGTCAACACATTTCAATACTGTCAACTTTCCCTTCGTAAAGTACATTTTTAGGCATCTTAGGAGAATCTTAGGCATTACTGAAAATTTCTCGGATTTTTCCTTTGAATGCAAACAAAAATTAGACAAATTTTGGGGGAAAATTGCACAGGTACTCGTTTGTAAAAAATTGAATTACTTGACTAAATTATGCAACCTTGAAATGGAGTAACGTCAATCCTTTTTCCAGGGAATAAGGAATTATTGACAGGTCGGAGTGTTGGAATCTACCATGTTGGAATCTACAATGTTGTCGGAATCTACCAGCGCGCGTTAAATCTCGGTGAAGAACTAATATTCTTGTTATAGAGAGAAAAAGTTCAACAGAGGACATATTCTCTCAAGAGAGTTATGCTGTTTAGTGCAACACTAATTTCAAAGGCAATTGCAGACGCATTTCGAGTCTGGTCGGATTAGCCCCCTTAATCAGTGCAACAACACGACAGAGGTTCGTAGCATCCGGATATTTCAAGTGAACTTCATTTTGCAATTAGGAACCACTATTTCTGGTTCCTTTATCGTAGCACCTATACCTCAATAGGAAAATTAATGGCACCATGGATGTTTCTTAACTGAGCCAAAAATATAGTAATTCCATATTGTAAAAAGTCTTCAATTATAAGAGGAAGGTGTTTTTCTGCGTAACCAGCACGTCATTTGGGAGGGGCAGGTCTGCCAACAAACGGAAAAACTGCGTCACGCCTCTTTCTGGAAGCCGCGCGTCACAGGTGGACCTCCGCTCTCGTCCGAAAATTTGTCCCCGACCAATTTCATATCCGATAAATCTCCCGGATGAAGGATGGGTTCGCGTTTTCGGGTACGACCTGTGCCTCCGCGCCGTTAGGGCGGCGGGGGTGGTGGAGGGGAGGGGGCAACGTATCGAAGGCGTGACGCGGCGGCGCACAGTGGATCGAGTCAATCAGAGAGGTAGGACATAAAATTTTTGACTAAAAGTGCAAATTTTGGAGTTCAGTTTGTCACAGTTTACATTTCAAGGGGTGTTTTAAAAAGACAATTTCCGGAGGAAACAAATAAAACCACTTTAAGAACTTCAAAATTTGCTATAAACGGAGTTAAAAGCGTTTAAAGTTTCTAAATTTTGTCCGACCTCTCCTATGGACTCGATCCGCTGTGCGGCGCGCGGGATGATGAACCTCGGGCCGGGGCTCTGACGCACGATTTACAATGCGCCCGGGATCACGAAGACGAGGCAGTTGGCACATCATAATTCAAGAGCGGAGGAAACGAAACCAGCTGAGCGTTGATCGCTGATCGGGGATTGATGGATGATGGCTCCGAGTCGGAGTGGAGGCGAGCGTGATGCTGATGGAGCCCACGGGAGATCCGAGCCGTTCCAGCCCGATCGCACGAAATTCCGCCCGGCTGATTTTTATGAGAACGAATCCTCTCGAGAAAACCGAGGGGGGAAACGGAGGAGTGAGTGAGGGCCACCGGAGACAACGAATGAGTCGGTCGATGTTGGAACCTGGTTTGTCCGAACGAATCGGAAA